TGAGGACGAGGTAGGCTGTTTTCCATGAGGCGCGAAAGACATGTTTATGCTTGACTCGGCGAGAGACTTTCCCCGTCTTCAAGACTCGATCGAATTCGAAACTTCCATTTTCGTTCACTGGCGAAAAGGGATCCAAATTTCCACTGTTATGAGGCCGGAAATGAGATGAGGGGGGTTCAGGGAGTTTGATCGGTTTGCCCTCAGAGAAGGGCCGAGGCAGGACTGTATTCATGTTGAGGTTTGGTGAAAGGAAAGAAAAGAAAAAGGGGAACCCCACGACTCCATATAGTTATTGTCATGCGGAGAGAGGGATGATGGGGGGATGACGGGGATGATCTCGGAACCAAGCCTTCTTGACCCTTTGGCTTCAAAACGGGCAAGTTAGGATCTACAACGTGCATGGGAGAAATTATATGAATCCTGGAATGTATGATATATTAGCCTAACTAGGTGAATATAAGTTGAGAGTAAACATGAACATTGTATACTCCATACGTAATCCTAGATATATACCACATGTAGGTGGGCATAGGCGAAGATATAGGAGAAAAAAAAAAAAGTAAGAAAAACACATTTATACAAATTTATGTAATTTACCAAGGGTCCAGACCTTAGATGGGACCCATTCATTCAATTTGCAATTAAATTGGATTTCTTTTGGAAATTGAAAATTACATAAATTACACTGTGTCAATGTCACGTGCAGATTTGATATTACCCAGGTATGTACCTAGTACCTGCATATATGCCCTTGTGAGTATGGAATAGCTTGTACTAGGTACTTCACTCAATAATAGGCACAAAAAGAGGCTGAATTTGAGCAGATGACAGGGTCAGACGTGCCGAGGAATCGCTACTTTAGGGTCTAACGGGGGAAGTTTGGACCCTCGATCGTCATGCGCTAATTCTGGAGATTGTATTGGCTATATGTACGAGTACCTACAGGTGCGATAAGTCAACTTAGGGCTCTGGGTTATCCTGGTAAATGTGAGGACCAGTTTAACTAAATCAACTCTAGAGAAACCAGATAATATCTCTTCGCATTCACTACTTACTTTATAATATGTGAAATTGCCCCATAGGGCCGAACAATTGTGGATCATGTCAAGTGGACTACGTACGCATGTACAATAAACTGTACTATCGCATATGGGGGATTCAGGTACAAGAGCTTGTATAAAGTACAAAGTACACGAGCACAAGCATAGTTCCAGATGAAATTAAAATCACACAGAAGCTTTCTTCGTTAGCTTAGGGGCTAGTATGGTACGCTGCCGTTTTAAAATCACCTGGCCCCCTAGACGCCAGAAGCCAATCACAGTTCCGGTAAAGACAAAGAACGCGCAAGAGAGAAGTTCCAGATCGATCTCAAATGTAGGGGATACACTCTACAAGTCAAGGAAATATTAAAAGAATATATGAAATATATTACATATATGTAGAAGTAAAAAAAGGATAATCACACAAAAGGAATATTACCTCATAAATACCATACAATACTGGGTATACCGCCACTGCACCGCAACTAGGGGCAAAAATAACCGTCTCGGGGTGACAAGAGGCCACCGGACTTCGCCAAGACCAGGGAGGCGCAAGCAACCTTTTGGAACCCATCCCATCTTCCAATTCCCCATCCGTCTTCTTTCTTCATCACCCTCAGTTGATGTCCCCAATATCTCCTCTGTGTACCTTGCTGTTCACAGTTGCCCGCGTTGCTCCCGACGCTCTCCCCATCTATTTACCGTGGGACTGAGAAAGTTGGGGGAGGAAAGGAGGCATTCCTCCGGCCACTCGTTTTGCTGTCATTTTCTCTATTTTCATTTGAGATCTTTCGACTTTCAGATCTTCCTGTGATCCATACGGTTCAAATTTAATTTGATCGTGTGCTCACTACTTTTTTTTCCCTCGATCAAGACGCATTACTCTTCTGATCACACCTCCGACACGATTTCTCCGCTATCTCCCTAACGGCCCCGTGCTGTCGCTTGGGCCTGACAGCTTGACCTTTACTGTTATTTGTGGGTTCTCACGACAATCGCACTCATGAGCTTCATCCAACGCATTACGAAACGGCTGCCAAGCGCGCCGAGTCTGCCGTTGGAAGATGCTCCAACCGAGAAAGGTCGCCTCCATCCTAGATTCGCCTTTTTCCGACGGAGGATTCGCCTAAAGGGGAACTCATCTATTTCTATACCCCTGGGTCTTGTTTTACTATTTCCATGTCTTGTAATTGTCCTTATTCTGCTCCTCTTTGTCCGACACCCTGCCTCTCCCGGCGGGATCCTAATTCCAGCGGGCACTCCGCCTTCTATCCGGTTCGTATCGCCCTGTCAATCCGCGGTCCTGTGTGCGATGGCTAACCTCCTACGTTTTACAGAAAAATCAGCGAAAAGCACGATAAAGTCTTTGCTACGGGCTGTATGCCCATTGAGCCCGAGCAAATCGCAAAGGCTCCCCGCGCCAATGCCGCCTTCGTCGTCCTTGCTAGGAATAAGGAGTTGGATGGCGTGATCCAGTCGCTCAAGTCGATTGAGAGACACTTCAATCGGTGGTGGCACTACCCCTATGTTTTCCTCAACGATGGTGACTTCGATGAGGACTTCAAGGCAACGGTCAAAAACTACACCAGCGCGGACGTTGAGTTCGGCAAGATTGACAACAGCATGTGGGGCTTCCCTGATTGGGTTGACCATGATGTTGCCAAAGAGGGCATCAGGAAGCAGGGTGATGCCGCTATCATGTACGGTGGAATGGAAAGCTATCACCACATGTGCCGATTCTACTCAGGGTGAGTCTTCAATGCTGGATTTAGGACGACTTGGATTATAAAGCTAACTTTGCGATAGACACTTCTACAAGCACCCTCTGCTGATGAAGTACGAGTGGTACTGGCGTTTGGAGCCCGAGATCAAGTACTTCTGCGACATCACTTAGTAAGATACCTACTGTGGCATGTTTTTCTGGTCAATCTGCTGACTTTGTTACTTTAGTGATCCATTCCTCAAGATGGCTGAAGCAAACAAGACCTACGGCTTCACAATCGCAGTGAAAGAGCTTCGGGAGACCGTTCCTAACATCTTCCGGTACGCGGCTGCTTACAAGCGCAAGAACAAGCTCAAGTCCAAGGGTCTGTGGGAGATGTTCCTAGAGCAGCCAGCGCAACCAGAAACTCCTCCCGAGGAGAAGAAGGACAAATTGCCAGATGAAATTCTGCAGACCGACCCCGGTGACAACAATCTGAAGGATGTGGACCCAGAGGCCATGGAAGGCGAGAGCTACAACATGTGCCATTTCTGGAGTAACTTCGAGATTGCCCGTCTGGATTGGTTCCGCAGCAAGGAGTATGAGGACTTCTTCACTATGATGGACCGAAGTGGAGGATTTTGGAATGAACGGGTATGTCATATTATGTCTTTGAACTCTGCTGGGTGATTCTTACTGACTTTACTAGTGGGGTGATGCTCCTATTCACTCTCTCGCCGCCGGTGCTCTCCTCGCGCCTAGTGATATTCATTACTTCCGTGACTTCGGCTACCGACACACTACCATTCAGCATTGCCCAGCCAACGCTCCGGCCCGCCAACTCACCCGTATTCCTTACCTTGAGAAGACCACCGACGACGAGAAGAAACGGATCGAGGAAGACGAGTACTGGGCGAACGCTGATCAAGTCAAGGAGAATGGTGTCGGTTGCCGATGCCGCTGCGACACCGACATTGTCGATGTCGAGGGCAAGCAAGGCAGCTGTCTCCCCGAATGGGTGGAAGTGGCTGGTGGCTGGGCCTCGCCATAGATCTTGACGCTGATGCCGTAGTGCTCAGTGCTTGCCACATCTTCCTGCGTCTCCCTTTTCCCCTGTCTATTTATTCGGCTGTGTGCATCTCTTGGGTCCGCCCTTGGGAGTTTTCAGCTGGAGCCTGCATGTTATGTTGGTCATGGGGTTTCCTTTCTGGCGTTCAACGGATCTGATGGCTTTTTTTATTATCGGAAGATGGTGTCACCTTTTCCATCATCACTGTTGACACATTCATCAAGCATGCTGTGCCACTGGGACTGGCTGTTGTGATTCATCTCTTGGTTGCATTTGGAAGAAAACGTGTGCGTCGTCAGCAGTGGAACATTGGTATCGTACATTGTGGGATTCTGGAGCCATCTCAAATGGCGTCGGACAACCCTTGTATCCAATGTTTTCGCTAGATCCATCGCTATATCTTCTGTTCTACCAAGAGCACAGCCTCATCTCGGTGGTAAGAGACCATTGATTCGGGGGCTGGGCCCAAAGCAACTCCCGCCGTCTACTTCGACGTGTCTCTTCGCCTCTTTTTTCCCCTTCCCATCCCCGTGTGTGCAGTTTTTGTGGCCTTCCAGCATGCATTCATGAAATGTACATACCTTTCCCCTCTCCCCACCCGTTCCTAAATCCGTGACATCCATTCACGGATTATTTTCTCGCATTGCCCACCCTTCACCCTCGCAAATACCAGATCGAGCATGGTTGTCTATAGAGTATGGAATAATCACCAGGTGAATTACGTGAAGAATGATATCAGTATAATGCACTTTATTTCTTCGGGTTTTACTGTGACTTAGATATTTCAATAGAGCTGTAGTTTCCAGTTGTATTCACAGGTTGAAGTAACGCAAATAAATGTATCAATACCTCAAGGGGCATACCAGGATCTTGTGTTCGAGATCGGTTGACGTACACGATTCCATTGTCAGCATACCGGAGCCTCCATCGTTCCAAGCCCGTAATGTCTCGAGTCTTCTTATATTACGATGGCCGTCACACCTACACTACTAATCTTCATAACTCTTTCACCTTCAAATAACAGGGCGATACCATAAATCAAGTTGGACTGTCTACCTCGAGTATTCTCCCTGCTTCAAATCCCAGTAAATAATAGATGTGATGGCTGCAAAGAAGCCATCACACACCACAATGCCCAAAGCCACTTATCCAGTAACCCACTGCCATGCATTCGTCTTGATATGATGCATCATACCCTCAACCTGTGAACATCTATCCACCTTCTCCAAATCCAAGATATCCTCGTGAAGCCGAGCCAATCTGTGATCAGGCCGTGCTTTCCCATCAAATCGATAAACTTCACTTTCTGACCAATAGCAACAGCTCCAAACAGTCTTTCTGTTTCCGAAGAGTTCAAGTTCGAGTTTTCTGATATACGGTGAATGAACTCGACCTGCATGATATCATCCCAGTCTGGAGTATCGCTGTCGCTAGATGGACCCTTGCAAACGACTATGAATACTGGGTGTTCAATCAACTCAAATTTGACTGCTGGTATCTCGATAACTTGAATGACTTGGAGGACGATGCTATCGGGCGTGTTGTTGGTGGGCTTGGGAGCTTTGAAGCCCCATCTGTAGCTATCGAAAGGAGTAAACCATTGGGATACGATTGTTTGCCAGACGTCTTGAGCTGTTGCTTCTGGGCTGTGTGGTTTCATTAACAGTATTGTATAGGTGGAGGCGGCCATTGCCATGCTGATGAGGTTGAAGAGGGAGGATATGTTGAATAATTCAGACGCAGCCAGTCTTCGAATAATGCCTATGAGAACCTATTAGGGAGATATGGGATGGAGTGTGATGCTAGGCGGGGTAGCCCTGTTGCGCTAGTTTATAGACCATCTACTGCATCTGATATATCAACCCTCTTCGAGATAGGGCATTAGAGGTGGAATTTGCGGGCTGTTTAATCGGTGGTACTACTTTATTCTCTTTTTATCTCTTCTATTCTCGAAAGCAGATCACCAAATACCCACAATTAGTATGAGTTTGCGCCAAAACTAGGTGGGAGCAGACAAAATTTCATATATATATATTATGTTGGTTTTCTGTCTAAGATCTAAATAATCAGAATTCGCATGAAAAACGATCTTTGCACCTACGTAGCTTAATCACTAAGCCAATACCAGCCCTGAAATATCCACTAGACCGATGGATCTTCAAGATGCTGGCGTACCAAAGACGGAACGAATCCCCGTCGTTATAGTACCATCAGCAGTCGCTATGCTGCTACTCAATCGCATTAGGTACCGTTCTGCGGAAATTCGCCAGGGTTGTAGATTCTGCGTACCGCTAGCATCGTCTGCTTTAAAGCTTAGGTCCCCGATGCGATCGTTATAGTCGAAGTAAAGTCTGCATATATCACAATCAACGTTATTTGATATTCTGCTAGACTAGTAGTCGATATCAAGAAGGGAGGGCTTGGTGTTCGGGCATGTGTTATAGATCCTATGTAGAATTGATTAAGCTCTCTCCAAGAGTTTAGAATTATGACCTACCTAGCGGTTCTACGTATTGCTCGAATAGCGCCCTCTTCGCAGTAGCGACAAGCCTCGGGATAGTCAATTTGAGAAGCAGAATCATTCTCAATTCGGGGAAGATCCGTCATGTTGCCATAACATGCCATTGAGTTGATTCTCGATCTGAAGCTCCTTTTTGCGAGCCTTTCCGATATTGCATGAGCATTCGCTAGGTGCATTATCTGGCGGCCAAAGGGAATATTATCAAGATACTCCTTTTGGTAAAGAGCGAGGAAGTCTTCTACAGTCCGTTGGATAGATCTTGTGAAGAGGCTGCGTTATATAGTTCAAATATTGAGTTGTAAAACTAACCTTAATCTAACAGCTAGATGTGATGCAAACAATTTGACTATCCGCCCTCTGAGCTCCACATATATTAATACAGCCACCAGGGGAATCTTGGATAGGTTAAGACCATGTTTTCCAGTGGTCAATTGCATTTGCCGCTGATCCATATATAAAGTCACTTATGGCAGGCAGTATAGTTCAAAATCATCTAGTTCATTATAGATCAGAAAGAAGCTCATAGAACATAAATTAGGAGAGATATAACTTCAAATACGCAAAAGTTCATACTCTTACTTGAGATAGAGGTCCAATTCCGTAGTAGGAAGACCGAATGGACTGGTGATGATAAATACTAGGCTAGACAACTATTGTTCAGTAGCAAAAGACAAAAAATAGTCGCGCCCGGGATCGAACCGGGAACCTTCTCGGTGCACTAATGTGAGCGAGACGCCATGACCATTAGGCCACGCGACTTTGGATATCATATAGTTATTTTCTGTCTTTATGAGGCAACTAGTATTCAGCTTCTTTGAGAAGCTTACCCACGGCTGGCTCAAACCCTGAAGCAACGTAATTTTCGATACCACAATATTGCAGCGTAGATATTTATTTGAGACTAATGAATAATGTTAATAAGGTGTATCAATAATTATCTACAAGAAACCTTGGAATGAAATAAAAGGAAACATTGGCTTGAGATACATATGTAGAGAATCTCGTATTTACTATATGTTTTGGGCTATACGTTGGAGAGTATCAAAAGCTGTTATTTTTGTTGCTTCAAGCTGCTTAGTGTAGCCGATGCAAACAAAATAGATTATTAATCAAGTCGCGTGGCCTAATGGTCATGGCGTCTCGCTCACATTAGTGCACCGAGAAGGTTCCCGGTTCGATCCCGGGCGCGACTATTTTTTGTCTTTTGCTACTGAACAATAGTTGTCTAGCCTTAGCAGTTGTCCTGGTCTTGTTCCATTCTGTCTTCGTACTAATTGGTCGTCTATCTTCCTAGGAGGATAATTTTTTATAACTAGAACATGTCTTTTTAGCTACAATGGTATTGTCGAGATATGGCAAGACAACAATCACAACCTAAATCCACTGGTGTTTTCAATATTATTAGTATTTGTTTTGAGAAGACCCAACTTAGATCAATTTAGCGAACCTTGAGAGCCTATATAAGCTTCTTTCTAAACTATATAAGAAAAATTTTTGAGCTTAAATACTACCACAAGTGACTTTTTATAATATATATCTAATTGACCACTAGAAATGTCTTAAAAGGACCCGGTTTGCACTGTATCGTGTTCTAATTCATAACGTCTCGCACACGGTATAGTTCTACAATGCTCCTGGTTTGAGATGCCTAATATCGAGTTTAAATCTTATCTCTAGTCGCGTGGCCTAATGGTCATGGCGTCTCGCTCACATTAGTGCACCGAGAAGGTTCCCGGTTCGATCCCGGGCGCGACTATTTTTTTGGTCGTATCCAACTGCTGTATGCCCAGGAGTATGTTTTAAGGCTATCAGGCTTGAGCTTACAGGTCATGAAGCCATCGGTCCTATCTATGGATCATGCTTTTTAGTATGGAGTATTTTCATTAACGGATCAGATGTAAAGTACATATGAACCCAGTCTACGAAAGTTTCTAGCACAACCGTAACAAGCCCTTTTTATTTGGGCGCGAGTGGTACTCAGGTCAAGCTTCATGATTGTACATGTGCGGAAAGGGAATACACAGGGCTCGCTATAACTTAGCGAGCTCGGCCCCAATTTGGTTGAGCATAGCCACATGATCCTTGCCATAAGTGTCACCATTTTTGGCAATCACTTCACGTACCCAAGGTCCACGGGGGTTAAATGAAGCCTTGAAAGGCAGGGCCCGCATAACCAGACCGTAAGTGCATGCGAAAGGGTCAACGACGATGGGCTCACCCGTCTCCTCAGACAGACCAGCCTTGATATCGAATGACCATACCAGCCGGGCAACAACGATCCAGATAAAATTGCGAGCGAAATACCGCCCAGGGCAGGTCCGCCTTCCGTAACCAAAGCCGGCAGGAGGGAGGTCTTTGAGATTTTTGCCGTCCTTGTCCAGCCAGCGATCCGGTATGAAATCGTCGGGGTCTGGGCCAAACAAGGCTTCTTCTCGGGAGATTGTCCAAACGTTGGGTATAATAACAGATCCCTTGGGAATGGTATATCCATTGTAGGTAGTCTCTTCCTTGTTCAAGTGAGGAACGCCCTCGGGGCCAACAGGTCGCCAACGGAATATCTCTTCGACAATCGCGGTGATGTACGGCAGGTTGGGCTTGTCGTCTAGGATTGGGAGGCGGTCATGACCGACAACGGCATCTAGCTCCTTGCGTGCCTCAGCGACGAAGCCCTGGTCTTGTGTGACGCAAGCCACCACAAACCAAACCAAGCTATCTGTAGTGCCGTCTAACGCGGCGTCGATCATGGTACCAAGTTCAAATGCCAGCTCGTCCATGGGCATATCGAAGCCATCCTTTTCGACGGTCTTTTTGAGATGTTTTGATATATTCCAGGCGTCAGACTCCAGGCCCAACCGAAAGTTTTTGTCACGCAGATCATGCTTGATTGTGTAGTGGTTTTCAGCCTGTGCTTGCCATGGGGCCAAGAAGCCGGGCAGGTTATTAAGCACGGGGAACTGGTCGACAATGTGCGCGCCAACTTGAACAAACTGGGAAAACTCATCGTTGAGTTTAACAACGGTGCGAAGAACCGGGTCGTTGTAGTCTTTGACACGGAAGCCATACAGCAATGTATGGATGATGCTAGCAACTGCGCGCTGGAAATTTCCTTGAACCTCAGCACCAGCGCCGCCTGCATTTTCTAGGAGATCGTGCATCAATTGCTGTGACTCTAGAGTCTGGAGGGGAAGATAGGCGGCTGCCGGCGTTGCGTTTAACACCGAAACCTGTAGCCTCTGATGTTGTCGGAATTGCTCTGTGTAATTCATCATGAGGATATTGAGTCCTTTCAATGCCAACTCCGTTGCCAACTACAGTTTTTATTAGCTCATGCTACACGTACAAGTTGAGGAGAGTCTTGCAAAAGACGAGGTCGGTCTGAAAATATAGCTCCACGCTTTGATAGGAGTTCGTGGGCTACTTCAGACGTAGACAAAATGATGACGTGCTGTCCAAGCATGTTGAGGTGAACAATGGGTCCATACTGCTTGCTCCATTCACGATATGTGAGCCAGCCGTGGGACTTGGGAGCTTGGTGGACATTGCCGATGATTGGTAATGGCTTGGGGCCTGGCGGGAGAGGCAAAGACGTTGGTTTACGCCGCGTGACAATATAAGCGCCTATCAGCAACCCGGCAATGGCTATGATTGTTGCTGGATGCATTGAAATTGAGAATAAGCAACCAGATTTAGAGGCGGAAGTAGGTTTAGTTACCCTGCATGGAATGGGGGGGAATATAAACGAGAAAGCAGGTAATCGCGGCCCCCGTCCAGTTTGGCGAGCTGACAAGAAACCTCTGGAGCTGAGAAGTATTGTATAAGCCTCATTGGGCATTGGGGCAGTTAATTAGGTGAAAATCAACGGTGCACCTGTGATTGGTGCATCAGTAAGACGCCACATATTTCATCGCGCAACAAATGGCCAGATTCGACCAAGTGCTGATACAGAAATATTGAAGGTCAAAGCCAGGAGGATATTCATTGGAGTAAATGTTGGGTTTAGACAACCCGCTTTCCCGCTTCCTGCCAACATGCCATATCGGGAACTGTGAACCACCCGTGAACTACCCGTGAACAGCCGTTTGTGTATATATATATATACATGGTTAAATCCAAATAGATTTATAACCGCCAAGAAGCATTACATTAGGCAGAACCATGAAAGTAATAAAACTAAGACATCCTCGGTACGGGATATATAAATTCCATGTGTTTTTCGGCTGTCAAATTGCCGATGACTCGAATGCCCTTTTTTACTCCCTAATTTAGATATATCTCTGCAGTTAACATACTATAATGTAGGCAAACATGAAGTAACGTTTTGCTTAAAGTTTAATTCCTACTAGAAAGAGTACTAGCTACAGGTCTCTACTAACTCCAGATTATATGCAATGTTACCTTAGTTGCTGTAGCCAAGGTCTTTAGGCATCCCACAGCCACAGTCCACGTTGCTTCGTATTCTTTGTCCAATGCCAGGCGTAAAAGAAGTCTTATTGATAGTAGCGGAAATTGTTAGCCCTTCTAGGCCCTAGGCCCCAAAGGATCCGATAGCGTAGAAACAGTAAGAAAAGCGGATCGCGATCATTATATGTGGAGAATCGTAGCTGAACGTTGATTACAGAGTCGCTTGGCATGTGCGCTATATACCGTGTTGTTTCAATAGTGAAGATTTGAAGAGGGGTAAAATGATCTAACCCCAAAACCAAAATACACTACAATCATCAACGTGAAGATTTGGAAGGTGGTTGAACTTAGACCAAAGCTGTAGTGCAATGAGGCTAGCTGTAAGTGCGCATAGACCAATCGAAAATTTCACAAAGGGCTGAGGTTCCAAGGTAGATGGTTGGACAGTAGATGAGATAGGGTTCATGTTCATGCCTTCCATTGTATTGATTGGATCACGACGTCAAACATATACAATCGTTGGGCGCCGGAGGTTCCAACTGATAGTCTCTCCGGGGAAGGACTGAATTGAATGAAAGGAAAACGCCGAATGAATTGATCGCGGTCTCAGAGCAGAATCCAACCCCTCGCAATATCGGTATAATGGGCGGTTGTCTAAAGTTAGTCCTGATAGTAGCGGGACATTTTCCCTGTTTTTACCCTAGTTCGGAGCTAGGCAGGGTTTAGGAAGGTGTCATTAGAATACACTAGATGGCTTTATATCATGCACATGTGGATCCATGGATAACTGTAAAAGCGGTACTGGTCTATAGTTTAATATATGACGTACATAGACTTCGTATAGCTGTAGGTAATATGTGATACTTACTCTGTACTATAGTTACTCTGCATATGTGGTATTAAGATCTCGATTCATCACCCGAAGCGAGACCGGGGATAGTACTGCAAATTTTTATAGATGCCCCGAAGACTTAAAGTATATTTTAGAATTGTGTGACTGGTAGTAAAATAATCTACCAATCTAACTTGCTGCATGTCGTTGGAAATGTTGGAATGGAGGGCCATATTCCTAATCGGAACGCCCTAGGTACAAGTGCTTAGGGGCGAAAAATCAAGTAATAAAGACACCTCGGCATGTAAAGCAATGCACATTAAAGTGAACCTCATACATATGTTTTTATATACACTTTCATCTCGGCTAGCAACGGAATACTCGTTCTGTTCTGCACATGGCCTAGTAGGATCTACGGTGTTACTTAGGGGATTAGGGAAGAATAACGAACTATGTAGCAAAGATTGGATTTATTGCGTGCCGTGTCTGTCTGACTGTATCTGACAGAGGCGGGATTTCTATATGCACAAAGTAAGCGCCCAGATTCCACTAGAAAGTTCTCTCTGTCAAGAGCGTCTTGGCCAGTCTCATAGTTACAGGTAGTTGTCAAAATCCCGTTTATTTGTCTACACTGGATTTCGGAGAAACGATTTATAAATAGTATATCAATCCTATATAAGTTCATCTTCTGCTGAATACATGTGTTGCATACACAGTGCCAATCCTAGAGTTGACGATAACGTTGATAATCGCAATCCTACATCAGATATGGCTCTCTTGGACCAAAAGCAACCAGATGCCTGGTCGTACCCGCAAGGTCACCAGTTCGCCTACCAGAACCAACATACCACAACTGCAATCAAGCCTACCATGCCGACGACACCTGCTCCAGCCCCCATGAAGCAGGTGATCAACAGTAACTATCTTAGTGAGGCCAATCGGCAAGTCGAAGCTCTTTCAAAAGCCATTGGACAAGATGAGGCCACGCGAGAGAAGCTGCTATACGCATTGAAGTTTTCCGGGGGTGAATGGTCTCAAAATGCCATACCCCAGAAGCTGAACAAATCGGCTTGGGTTTCCGATGTGAGCAATGATCACTCGCCTTTTGAGTACTCATTAGCTCTGTCTCAACATACTGGAGCATCCGAGCTGCGGTTCTTGATCGAGGCTCAGCCCGAAGAAAACAGCCTAGCCGCCCTCCAAGAAAGTACCTCACGCTTGACCGAAGACATAGCGACAGAATACGGCCCCGCAAAGGTCTCCCTGGACCGCCTGAGTCTTGTCCAAGATTTATTTCGCCCCTCGAACCCCGAGTGTAAGCTGGCCCAATGGCACAGCTTCGTTACATCAAGTACACTGGAAAAGTGGAAGATTTACCTGAGTCCACTAGCCTCGAGCAGGCAAAACGCCTTCAACGTGACCAGAGAAGCCCTAGAGCGTCTGGGACTGGCCAGCTCGTGGAAATTATTGGAGAACATGATGACCGGCGACGACTATCCCATCTACTTTTCGCTCGGCTTGTCGCCGAACCCAGAAGAGGCCGAAGCTAAGGTCTACGTCGCACACCCTGGTGCGTCTGCAACGCAAATCGCGGAAAAGCATGTCAAAATGGATCCCAGTTCCAGTATCCAGGACATCGAGCAGTTCTACTCGATTATGGCTGGTGGATTGCTTGGGCCGTACCGTGGAGAACCTGGGGTATCTTGTTTCCATTTCAAGAACAAAGATCCGTCTCGGCCGGTGGCCCGTACGGTCCTCTATCCAATGTGTTGTCATGCAGAAAATGACGCCCAAGCGCAGGAGCGCATCGAAGCTTACATGGATGCTATTTCTGCGCCTCAGCTCTACCGGGAGAGGTATAGAAACGCCATTAGTGCCGTGCAGCGCCGGCCGTTGGAGGCTGGTCGTGGTATCCATAGCTGGGTTGGTATGAAGGAGAAGGTGGACGGCAAGCGGTCCAACACGTTTTACCTCTCGGCTGAACTGTATGGGTGTCTTGGTGATGACGCCTCGAATGGTGGCTGCTGAAACAGGTTTTCAGGTTATAGAATTGGTTCAGGGTAGTTGCCGGATTTACGAAAGAGCCAGGATCACAGAGGATCAAATGCGCCATCTTATTTTTGTTTTCTTATTTTTTGGGGGTCTATTTAAACAGCTCGGTTAAATACATTTTACCAGCGACCCATATCAACAATTTTTGGGGTATGGCAGCAAATAGCTCTCTCACTTGAGCCTTGAAATATATATTCTAGGCACCCCCGGATGCCACTTCGATGAACAGTCTCTCGCTAGATAGAAAACTGTCAGCAGTTGTTAGAATATATAATGGAGAGAACCACCCTCAAGAAGAGCGAGCGCACCGGTAACGATTAAAAGAACATATCTAGGAAGAAAATTTCAGCAATTGAGTTGGTCACTAGGCACCTCTACATTTAGTTTCACGAGTGAAGGATGGTATATATACGACAGCGCGCTTGCAATTGAAATATCATAATATCCACTGAAATTGTTGATCCTGGGGCTGCAAAATTCGCGCAGTCTGAGAAATCCAATTCTCTTCAATATTCTCATTGGTATACGGGGCTTGGTTTCCTGCGAGTTTGGCAGCCAAGTCTGAAGTAGCATGCCAGAGCTCATCACTGTCTGGCACCGCGAATTGCAGATCACTTAGAAGAAGAAGTTTTCCACCTGGTGCTCGTGGTCCACACGGAGGGCTCAAATTGGACCTGTCTTCTAAGTGTGCTGTGTCGCATACCCGGGCATGTCTGCATACCCTGTACAAGCACAAGTCAAAACGCTTGACTTCCTCAATACCAAGCCAGATAAAAACATCGGGGTCAACGCCTTGTTTGAATTGGGCCAGTATCGAAGGGTAGAAGAACATGTGGCGCTTCAAGCAGCTGCGCACAAGGGACACGAGAAGCCGTGAAGGGATCTCGGGGAGAACTTGAGTCAATTGCAGATCTGACCGGTCGTGGTTGAGGAGGAGGGAGAAGATGAGGTGTAACAGGATTCCTTGGTATGTTGCCATCGGCCAGGGTGTGGAACCAGATGAGGATATTTCATGATGTTGTGAGTGTGGTTCATCATGGTGATTCGATATGTCCCATTTTTCCTAGCTGGCTTTTTAATAACAAGAAGGGAAACGTGGAGAGATAGAAGAACGGGCTGAACTAACTCTTTGCTCGTATATCGACGAGGTTAGTCTTTTATGTAGGTCTTTTGCGATCTGTTGCGAGTTGCCTTCCGCCATCGCCCACAACCCCATCATCACCACCGATTGTGTAAGAAAAGGCAGCTCAGTATCGGGGTCGAACGTCGCTGGGTGTAAGAATGGCCATTTTGGGTGGAATTTATCGAAATAAGCCTGGACATATGGCGCAATTCTACACGGGCTATTCTCAATAGTTTCCGAACGCTGCATAGAAACTGCTGGTCCTACTGAAGGTAGGTGACTTTGTCGAGACCCGTTTTGTTCCAATGCCCGGCCTCGTGAGTTTGGGGTATATGAACATTGAATTCCTCGCTGGAAGCAAGCGTCGCAGGGAGACTGTCCGCCACATTTTGACCGTCGTGAGCGACAATAGATACAAGCTTGGATTGTTCGGGCGTTTCGTAGCTCTCTGGTTTTATGATGGGTGCGGACATGCTGCCGCAGCGTGTCATTCCTGGTAAAAACACGATCACAGAAGGAGCATTCGAAATACTCTGGTTGAAAGTGATTCTTAGCATGTCGGGTCAGATGTTCCTTCCGTCGATAGCTTAGGCCACACCCGGGAAGGTGACATTGAAAACGGGATTGCGGTGTTGTCATTGGAATTAGGAATCACTTCGGGTGATCGAGACGACGGATGGAGCGATAGGTTGAACAGAATGGAGGCCGGTTAAAGCCAAAATGTCCCAAGATAGAGACAAATTTGATTAGAAACAGCTATACTGCAGGTACGACATAAAAAGGTACAGGTGTTTTGGTGGGATAGCGATGGGATAGCGGGCCCCCCGGTGGAACCTGACTCAGGAGCTTCTCAGGCTTGGCAGTCGAGACTAAAACCAGTATGATATTTGTTGCTAGAGGCTATTAAGATTTCTCAGCTTCATCTCCGGATGCTAATATTGAAATTGGCTTAGCCTTGCACACTTCAAAGCATATAGAAATGCATGACCTATGATTCTTTGTTGCAATGGCTGTTATCAAAATTTCCCTTGATCTCCGAATGCTAATATGAAACTAGCTTATTGATTCAAAGCATACGGAAATGGCCTATTACTCTTTGTTGCCACTAATGGCTGTTCTCAAGATTTCCCATATTCCGAATGCTCATATTGAAATTATCTTGTTGAGTTTAGGGCCTTGCACACTTCGAAACATACGGAAACGCATAACACCTATCTCGATGCCTCTAATTCTCGATGTTTACTGCCCTTTATGTGGGGTTGATATGCTGCCAGACCCCCCACAGTGTGCTTGGCCCAGCATCTTTGCAATCTCGCATTCAACCTTGGAAGGAAGAAATACGAGGCCTCTACTTAACCGATGCTACCGCTGGATATATCACCACAACTGGACTGGGGATATTACGCGGCCCGAATACTCTTCTTGCGCCGCTTGACAGCGATCAATCCTATACCGATGTGGGGCTGCAATATAGTTGATAAAAGAACGGATTCTGAAATAGCTGCTCTACTCCGGCAGGCATCCTCCGGTTCACAGGCAAGCCTGAGGAGAAGCAACTTCTAACACGACTCATGGAATCCGAAACACCAATGACCTACAGAGGATTCGAAAACGCCCCATTCCTCTAGCGCATGCATTACTTGTATTAATGCATCCATGTTCCAATTTGGTCACGACTATGAGCGCGCCGTGCAATTGCCCCGGCCGCCAAAGCTAAGATATGGGGGCGCACATCTCTATGCTGACCCATGTGCAATCCCTTCCTTGAAAGACTTGGAAACAGCTGCGTCCGAATTCCGCAATATGCGTGGTATTTTGCAATGGAAAGAGCGAGATGGTGCTCGCCCGGCAACTGCAACCGTGGCAGGCATTGATTGCCATGGCGAAGAGAGCACATCTGCATCGGATGCCTTTGAGCCTATTGGCACTTACCACCTATTCCCATCCGATGTCATGACGAAACAAATTTGTATATATCCGGAAATACCTAAACCTTACATCTTCGGTCGTCTCTCACTCGAGTTGAAATTCGAAATATTCTCATATTTAACCTTTGACGGACCCAATGTAAGACTGGTATGTCGTGAATTAGCTCTACTTGCAACAGTCCATATGCTCCCACGGTCGTATTGGCGAAGCCTGGTTTCTCCTGGGTCAGGAAGCCGACTTCCTTTTCCTGAATGTTACGGACAGGAAGGACTGGTATCTGCTTTTCTTTGGGACCAGGGCATCCCTCGTGGCATATACCATGTTGACGGTCAAGTGGGAGAAAATCCGGGGTCAGAATTTCTTCGGGATCAGGGAAACCCTCATAAAACAGACCCTGTCGTTAATCAACCGGAAGAAAATCCGGCAATTGCTGGAACCAATTGCTACTATTGTGAGCCTAGAGCCTGTTTTGAGAAATGGTCCATATGGATCTGCTGGCCACCCCCGTAAAGAAAAGGCGAATATCATCAGCTGATCGATGACAAGCGTGCTGAGAACCTGTCCCCGCTCATAGAGGTGGCCAGCTCTTTTTCCGCTCAGCTAGCCTTTGCTGACGCTGATAGCCCTTTGCATGAGGGATGTCGTGTGCTTTACCAAAGAGCGCTATTGTTTGTGCCCCCGCTTCAGCAGTATTGACGGCGAATAGGTATCTCAACTATCCAATTCGGCTATAATTGGAATCAACCTATTTGCGTCTGGGGAGCGCAGTATTGCAGAATATCGAGTCGAATATCACAATCCGGCTTCTGAGACGTGGATAGAGATACCGAACACCTTCCACGTGAAAGCACTTGGCGTGGCGTTTTGCTCTGAAGGGCTGAGGGGAATCAAGTTTATGTACACAGGGTCAACTTCATCGAATTGGGTTGGTGATTCCAACGGCCCAGGGATTTCTCATGGGATCCTTAGCATCCCAGAGAAGCTAGATCAGCATTGCTTGCTTATAGGTTTAGATCGATACAAGATCATTTCACTCGGTCTCGGCAAAGTGATCAACAACCTTGAAATTCTGGAATCTTCCTAACATATTATGGATCCATCTCAGGTACAGTCTCACTTGTCGATATCACATCCACCAAGCCACGCAGAGTTGAAGATTAGCACCCTCTCACCCTCCCTGTCTTCCCGGGCTTTTGAACCCTTGACCAACATTGACTTTGGTGGACCAAAAGGCCTGTTTCTCGCGTCCTTAACAAGGATTACGTTATTTTGGGAAGGTCACTGTTCTATATTTTTCGGAACAGAGAAACTATTTATCGGAGTGGGGGTATCGTATTCTGATGGGAGGTCTGTACTTCTCGGTTCTAGCGGTGGCTGCGAGATTTCTTTTTTTGTCGACGGATCAAAGGGGGAGCGTATCAATCGAATTGGGATACTACCAACCATTCGGAGATCTCACCCAGAAGAGAGGCTTGGTGGTTTGCAGGTATTCCCTACTCCTTCCCTGGGCAACTATGTGTGTACGATGCTAATTTTGGGCCAGGTGTCAACAAGCTATGGGCGAACTGTTACTTTCGCTCCTCTTCGCTATCGGCTCAATACAGCTGTTGAACTCATACCAATTCCGCCGCCTAGCAACACTATTACTGGATTATTTGCCGTTGAAATGGTGTTTAGAAGTTTTTAAAGTAGACGCAGACAGCAGCTAAACAGATCTAGACAACCCCAACTTGCTTTGAGCGTGTCGGCGTTCAGTCCCAGCAGTGTGGCAAGCAACCCAAGATACCAGATATTCTGGACCGCAAATTCCATCAAACACCCGACGATCAGCTGCGATATGACAAAGAAAATTTTTCTCGTTTCATATATGCTGGGGACCCCGATGAGTATCAGACCTATGCGTCACTCAAGAATGTCCGGAAAACCCAGGCATTCACAGGCATACAAGGTCGATCCAGATCTCGAAGTCGCATATGCGGGTTGAAGCTGGAGCATTATAACCATCCAAGTCCCGGCATCGTAGGACAATGGATGCATCCACTCGATGATGGGGCCGAACTGGCCCAAGATGAGGATATACAAACTTGACTACCTGGCTCATTCCAATGGGGCACTTTAATAAGTTCCGGGGGATGGAAACAGGTCAAATCGTAGCCATACACCTTGAGACGACGCGTTCTCGCAGTGTGACTTTTCGCTCTCCAGACTTCCACTCCATCTCACTCCGACGGCTACAACACGACCAGTTCCAGGGTGGTTCCGATGAGAAACTCACAGCTATCTCTTGGATATTGAACGTGACCTGCGAACGCGTCCGAGCTGTCATTTCCACGAATGGAAACCGCCGAAACCCCCCAATATTGGTCCCTGAACAACCACCTCCATTTGACCAGGTACGAAAACTCCACTTTGAGAGGCAGAATGATGATGGCTGTAAAGAGAGCATAATAAAAGCCGAGGCCTACTTCACAGACCAGAGTATAGTCGGACTAGTCTTTGTCTATACGTCAGGTAAAACAGTGAGCACAGGTGAGCTCGATACCAAGGCCCGTCAAACAGTTCACTTTGCACCGGGTGCTCGCATTGTTGGCTTGTCAGCTGCTTTTGAGAGTATATACCGCAAGATTATTGAAATTGAGTTTGAGGTTGAACGGAATGAGCAGCCCCGGGGTCGGTGCGAGAAGCTTGAGCTTTCCATTGCTCCGGCCGGTGACCGGCGCAGTATCTTGAATTCTTACCAGCGAGATGTGTGGTTTAAGAATAATGCGTCTGCGAGAAGCTACAAATGGGTCTTTGAGGGTGACAAAGTATACAAGCCCCCGAGTGGGTCGAGGCTTGTTGGTATCTATATGGGCTGTCAGGAGCTCTCTCGTATTGGAGCATTATACGAGCCCAATGTTTCTCAATAGGTACATATTTATTAAAAGATCTTCACAGCCACTCCAAAATATCACTCAAAACATAACTATACGCCGATGTATAAGGGTGCTGGTCGACAACGGTTAACCCGGGCCCTATTACTTCGCACATTGCTATCCAGGCGCCCAATGAATAAAATGTTCGCCTCTCGAAACTTGTTGATCCTGAGACGTCGTATATGGGTTGTCAGGTGTTTAGCCATATGGCTGTGCAGTTGTGCTGCGATGCTGCCGCTCGTATTTTGTGTAAGGTGGATCCTGCAGGGATTCTTCGGGTATGCCAAGAGGTCTCGCTGAGCAAGGGGATTTCGAGATGGTGGGACACTGCTCTTAAAAGGGTTAAATATCTCAAATCAAGTAAGTGAAGCGAGGTGAATCCTGGATAGTTTTTCTTAGTCTTCATTTCCACGTGAATGTATCAAAGGAGTACTATACCGTAGCGCGGCTTAACGGCTGGGTGATCATGGTGGGGCATAGTGGAGCTCTACCTCAAGTATAGAACAAGTATAAAGAATAGCTCTTTAGATAAAATATGATAGGTTTAGGAGATTATTTCTTTAACTTGTGCATTTGGAGTGCATCGAGAGCAAACAAAGGACTTGCCAGTTACGTATCAACTTGTACTTGTACATGGTACCGCCATCACCGCGGGCATCACCATACAACACTCAGGTACCTTGTACTACCCCGCCATTATTGTCACTTGGGTCATTCTTATCGCAACACACATCCCCTGATTAAACCTACCCGTGGACGTTTCAGTTCTCTTTTATATCCCTTCACCTTTTTCTTTACTATTTGGCCTTCCGTTTTCACGTTTCACGCCTTTTCCTCTAGGCCATTCCTTCCAAGTCAGACGCACCTGACTCCTAACATCCGGCTCCCCGCAGACCCACCCGTGGGCCTTATCGCTCTATTTGGGCTTGAGTATCTGCCTATTCTCAGTATCTTCCGACCCTTCCCTTCTCTTTCTATTCCCTTGATATCTCCCTCTAACTCTGCTTTTTTTGACCTCCGGCTTGGGCTATCCCTGAGCTCCTGTTCCCGCCGCACCCGTATGAACTTTACATCCACGAAATGACTGACGATCCAGACTCGCCCCATAGGCGTTTTCTCCGTGCTCAGACTGCTTCGAGTCTACAATATCCAACTCTTCCACCCCTCACAGCTTCTGTCGAGGAGTGGTTGTCCCGTTCACGGCCCACCAATATGACGTCAGATCGACTCACTGATCATTCACCCAAGACACTGAGTGATAGCTGGGCGACTCTGAGCGTGTCTGATATACGCTCAGAGGATGGCAGTCACTCCGAACAAACTGATACATGCTCGTTGATCGATCAGGCCAGCCCTGACGACGTTTCAAGCCTCGATGGACGCTACAGCGGTAGCGAGGCCGAGGCACAGGATGAAGACAACCAAGAGGATGATGGGATAGACAGGGATGAAGTGCAGTGCACTGAATCGGCCTCCCAGGAGCTGCCTGCCCTCTTTGCTGCCAGACGAACCACGATCGATGACAGTACCACGACCACAAAACCCTCCTTCCCCCGAACCAGTGATTCGATCGAATTTGTGGAGCCTGAGAAGTGGCCCGAGATCGAGAGAGTGGAGCTCAAGCATACTATCCGCATCTTCGAAGGTGCTGCAGCCTCAGAGTTGAAGAGTCGGCTGCCCTACAACTCAACCGACTCCATTCTCATGGCCACGGTTCAACAGACCATGACGAAGCAGAGCCTCGACCTAGATAAACCTTTCCGCGTGCTCTACGTCGGACAACCGGGATTCCGAAACATTATTCTGGACAAGATCGGCGATGTTCTGGTATCAAGCTCATGTGCTGGTTCGGAGCCCAGCTCGGCCGAATCTTCCCGATATCATGTTGTGCCAACCTCGTTTGGCGCCGGAGCAGTTCCTAACTTTGCGGAACTTCTTCCGATCCATGTCCAGCTAGTGGTTGACGAATGCCTAGAAGCCACAGCTGATACCCACGCGGACCGACCCAGTACACTCAACCTGAAGTTCAAGAACCGACCTGTCTGCACTTCAGCCTGGAATGGGTCTGACTACCATGTAACATCTGCAACTGATTGGACTCTACCAGATGTGGCAATTCTCTTTGTCTCTGGCCTCGATGATGCAGCGGCCGCCAAGACCCAGCGTCTTGCTCACATGTTCCTGGAACGTCATGGAGTCCCCGCGATGGTGATCTCGGAGGAGCCACTGTGGAATATGGCTGGAGAGGCGATTCCTCTTAATCACAACAGTCTACACACATGTTTGGAGTCCCGCAATCCAGTTTCCGGGGAGACCGCAGTCCTCCGACGGTATCCTATCGATTTGAAGACCTTCGAGAGCATCACACCTGGTCAGTTGAATCGAAACCTGGCTTCTCTTGTCGGCCTGTATCCAAAGAAGGGATACAAAGTGACTTCGGATACCCCCAAGCCTCTCCAGAGAAACATATTTGCGGATCTCGAGAAGTATCCTGGTAATTGGCTCCCGCCTTCCTATGCCATACGGGTCCGGGAGCTGGCTCCCACCCTGCGTCTGGTTACTTTAACTCTCGTTTCGGCCATTGCCATCTCTATTGGGTATGCGGCTGTCAAAGTTCTGGTCGTCTTTTTGGCACAATGCTTTGCTGGATCAGCTCTATCCAATGCATCCTTCCCAGTGGCATCTCACGTTTCTCCCACCTCCGTCCTGACCCTGAATCGAGTGGCACAGCCCTCCATCTCAACACGATCGTCATCGTCAATGCGGCTATTGTATGTGCCCTCTTCGGGAAATCCAATACCCGAGGATGTCACAGTGCCAACTATTTCTACTGTGAAATCATGGGGAACGACGAATGAATTTGAGATTCAGGTTGTTGGAGACTGCCATGTTATCATCAAACCCCCACATAAGTTTGCATCCAAGAAACAGCCACAATTCAATGTGAGCGTTCACCGAGAGAACGAGGCTCTTACATACGAGCTGTCACAGCTGTTTGATGGAGTCTACACGCTGAAGCTGAACCGCGAGGATGCATACGGGTTAGTCAACTTGACGATCACAACCAAGTCAAGACAGCCAATCAGCCAGACCATCACTGTTGACTTCGGAACCCCATGGCTGAAGATTGCAAACTGGAAGCGTGCAGCACAGGAAATTTCTTCCCAATTTGCCAAGGAAATCCATACGGCTCAGACCGGCCTAACTGAGGTATACGGCCGCCTCTCTACAGACTTACAAGTGATCGTGGGAGATGTGGTGAAGAGAGCCCATTTCTTGCGCCGCGATGCCGAGGACCTACGGCGTGAGAGTCTGAATACCCGTGATGCCGTTCTATCACGTTCGAAGCAAATTTCAGAAGTCCTGACTCGCAATACTATCCAGCGATTCCGAAGTGTTTCTTCTGTGCTGCAAATGCGGTCTAGTCGCGTGAACAAGGAAGCCAAGGGCCTTGTTCATGATGCATGGAGCCGACTTGGGAAGTCAGCCACAAAGCTTGACCTCCACAGTATGATGGATCGAGTGCGCAACGTTAGGAAATGTGATGCGCTAGATCGCGCTCAGTCGCGTGCGCGATATGTTATGGGATTCCGGTCCGGCAAATCCGCAGATTGCTCAACTCCTGGCTCTCGAAATGATGAATGAACTTACCTTACGACTTTGTATTTGCTTTTTTTTCTATTAATGAGTTGGCTGTGGACAGGTTTTTGTTTATGGCGATCAGGTTTGGGTGGCAACGGTGCTGGAAATGGGGTTTCAGACGAACTATTCAGTCGGCGCAATGGTATCTCTTATTTAAACCATAATCCAACTTTGGCCTTATCTGAAAGTAAGATAGAATCTTCACTTCTTTTCTTTCATGTTTCTGTTGCATGTAGTTCACATTCTACAAGAAACACTATTGGCAGACGAGGGCGGTAGCGGATTCTGCCGGATATGGGACCCAAACTAAGTATTAATTTTTCCCCCCTCATCGCTTTCTCTGATCAACAAACACTATCTCTTACTGAAATTCCATATCTCCCGTGGATCTCTGCCATCTCTCTTTTCAAAATTTTAAACCGATCCTCTTGAGTCCCTCGTCATCATGTCCGACATCACTGAGACTAAGCCCGACCCCGCCATCTCTGCCTCCGAGACCAAGCCTGAGGAGACCCCCGCCACCGGCGAGGCTGAGAAGTCTACCACTGAGGCCGTCACCGAGACTGCTACTGAGACCGCCGAGAAGGCCGTCGACACTGCCAAGGATGCTGCCGTGAAGACCTCCGACAGCATGTTCTCCATGTTCGGTGGCGGTCCCAAGAAGGAGAAGAAGGAGGAGGCCGAGGAGCCTACTGATGAGCCCTCCGGCTCTTCCAAGGCCCAGAAGGCCAATGAGGAGGTGAGTTTGATACATCTGATGCTGGTTGCATAGACGGTTGTTGGACGCGTCTATTATGGGAGCGGGGTCTTATGCCCCTTTCGCCAGATAGTGGGGTCGTCGCAACGAAGTCATACTGTGCCAGTGTCTGTGATTATTTTAGCTCGGCGCATATACTGACCATGATATCTCAATGCAGGATGAAGTCGAGGAGTCCGCCGATGTCCACTTCGAGCCCGTGATTCGCCTGACTGAGAAGGTCGAGACCAAGACCAACGAGGAGCTTGAGGAGCAGTCCTTCAAGATGCGCGCCAAGCTCTTCAAGTTCGACCGCGAGTCCAAGGAGTGGAAGGAGCGTGGTACCGGTGACGTCCGCCTGTTGAAGCACAAGGAGAACCAGAAGACCCGCCTCGTCATGCGCCGTGATAAGACCCTCAAGGTCTGCGCCAACCACTACAGTGAGATTGCCCGGTCATAATTTCCGAAGAAGTTTCAGTGCTAATATGTATTCCCAGTTGTCCCCGACATGAAGCTCAGCGCCAACGTCGGTAGTGACCGCAGCTGGGTCTGGAACGCCGCCGCCGATGTCTCCGAGGGTGAGCCCGAGGCTCAGACCCTGGCCATCCGTTTCGCCAACAGCGAGAGTGAGTGTTTTTATCCCAACTTGATGTTGAACTTTCACTAATCATGGTTGTAGACGCCAACGCCTTCAAGGATGCTTTCGAAACCGCCCAGGTTGAGAACGAGAAGCTCTTCAACGCTGAAGAGTAAACAACTCTCTCCTTCTCTCGTCTTGCTGACTCTTTTGAGGATGAGGATACCAAAATACCGTGTACTTGGCATTCCAAGACATTTGGGTCCATCATCCCGGAGCTTGCTCTCGAAAATCACCCAATTTCGCCCCTTTCACACCGTTCTACCCAATCATCACCCCCCCCCAATTCATCCCATTCCCACCCCATCCCCTACGACGCGACGAGCGAGGCAGCAGTTATGAAGATGCTCCTCACATAGCTATTGCGAGCCATGCAGTCTACGAAATGGAGGGCAGTTCCCTAACGTCGGTGGTTGCTCGGAAGTAGATAGACATTTCCCCATCGAATATACCTGCACATCACCCCATACCCTGAAGATATCTGAAGAAAAAAAAAGACAGTAATGATGAGTATGCCTAAAAATCAAGTGTATGCCAAAAATAATACAAAAATTGTACAATTCTAAAATTGAAGAATAAGAAAAATTTCCTTCACATTTTGCTTTCACTTCTCAAATCTCAAAGACACGATGATTCCAGATCCCAAGAATAGGAACAAAGCTAGGATTGTAAAGTAAATTTGTTTATAGCTATATTCATTTGATCCCAATATTCTCAAGTTTATATATATTAAGGTATATCAGTTAGAAAGAGAACGAGGTTAAGTTGAACATAGTGGGCAGCCCTGTGATAGTCCAAGACTCCCTCTCTCACCACCTCTTAAATTCACCGCTTCATCAATTACCTCTAGAATATCAAAAGAACAACACTATATAACAGTTCCTGTTGCCTTACATTGAGGTATTGTCCAGGTTATGATTTCTCATGCTCATTGCTCACTCCGATAGACCGCGCAAACTTGTCTCCGAGACGCCCACCTCTCCGCACGTCAACGTCCCCTTTCGGCCTCAAAACCTTAGAACCTCACGATTCCCTCAAGTGACGACCAGAAGTCACCAATAAAATAATCATGCCTGACGTGAGTATACTAAACCCCCAACCACCGCGAACTTGCATCTACGGTCTAAGACTGTGGGTTTGTCGAGCCCAAACCTGGTCTTTTCTCCGTTTCCAGCACAATTAAAGCTCGCATACACTAACACTCCTCCTCAATAGGTCAAGCGCACTGTCCGTCTCATCACTGAGCAGAACATTATGTATGCGACCCTCTCTACCTCCACCTTCCCTCCCTTCGCAAACTCCGCTCTGAGAACAGCGACTGGAGCTACTGTCTCCCACAATCTCCTTTCAACGCTATCACCACTTCGGTCCTGTGGATTACAGGATGCGAGGATGGTAATGCGCTCAAGGATGAAGATGAGCGCAGCTTCGCACACTACTCTTACTCTTCTCTTCGAACCCTCCCCCCCATACACCCATCTATCCCTACCTATACACACAAAACACGCTGGATTAGACACATTGGCTGACTTAGGCTCTTTCTGCACTACAGAGATAAGCCATCGGAGGTTGAGGGCTTCCCGCAGCGATCTTGGCATATCGAGGTCTGGCTCGTGAACGAGAAGGGCGCCTTGGTCCCAGCGAACATCTTCGACAAGGTCACCTACCACCTACACCCCAGTTTCGGTGAACGTGCTACGCAGGGTATGTTTTGGTCCCTATTAGTTATTTTTTTGGTGATTTGGTCTTGGCGACGCGTGGGGTATCTGTCGATTCAGAAATCCCACGACTAGCAGGGTTTGGTCACTGGTGATTGTTTTAGGATTGGACGCTAACATGGGATAATTCCGCTTCGAATAGTCTTCAAGCAGCCGCCGTTCCGCATTCAGGAGGAAGGATGGGGTGAATTCGATATGTCTATCGAGCTCACTGCTGACAAGTCCTACACCATTCAACATGACTTGAACTTCGCCCAGACCCGTTATGAATCTAAGCATGTGCTCGTAAGTTGTTGAGATCCCCGAAGAGAATAAGTATGGTGTCCTGATCAATGGCGCGTTTTGTTGCCCGTACAGACCTTCAAGAACCCCAAGCCTGCTTTGATGGCTGCGCTGCGCGAGTCCGGTCCCGTCCCCGGTGACGAAAATGGTATCAAGCACAAGCGTCCTGCTGGTGGCGAAGAGAGTGCCAAGAAGAAGAAGCGCACGGATAAGAATGTGAGTTTGTTTCGGTGATATGGGATTGAGATTGGCAGGGACTGACGCGCTTTCAAGGTCGACATGGACAAGCTTGCCGATGGGCTTCAGAAACTGAACGAAGACGACCTTTTGCAGGTTGTGCAGATGGTTCATGACCACAAGGCGGCGGACTCATACACAAAGAACGATGTTGAGCGTAAGTTTCTCTCTCCCTCGACCTCGGGTATATCAGAGAAACGAAATCCATATTCTTCCTCTGTTTACTTGACGTTTACTCTGACCAAAATACTAACCCTACCCTTTCTACAGTTGGAGAATTCCACGTGGACTTGTACACTCTCCCTGACGCGTTGATCAAAATGCTCTGGGATTTCACGGCGGACCGCGGGGCTCTGTAAAGGACGACCGAGCGAGCGGAAGGAGAGAAAACCTGGCGTGGGAGTGTTTATTCTCTTTTCTTCTTCATTTCTTCTCATTTCTCGAGCCTGCTTCGCTTCTTTCTCTACTATGTATCCTCGGTCACCCACGACCATACGTCTAGTTACTTCGATATCATGTTTTTTTTCTGTCTTTGACACGGGGAGTTAGTGGACTACCGAAGGAAATTGGATGGCTCTTTTTTCTTTGTTTTTTCTTTGCTTCGTTCTAAAATGCGAGTATTGCTTTCTCTTGGTGGGGGGATGGACTTGGTGCTTTCACTCATCTTGTGAGGAAGAGTGGAATTCGAGAACTCAGTAAATGGGTTCCTTGAGATGCTTTGCACAGGATATGGATCTTATACCAATTCGAAACTCAGTTGCACTTGGCAGATACTCTTGCATATGAGACTGGGAGATGAGACTGGGACTGTGGATGTCTGTATTCCAGCTTCCTCGACTAGTATCTTTCAATTCACACAGGTCAGACCTACGACACTAATCTAGACATGGAATGACTTGAAGCTACATTTGAAAGCTGAAGTGTATTGGGCGACTACCTAGGTACACGCATGTAACTACATAAGTACATAGTAGCTAGCTCTACAATGCAAGAAGATGTGATTAGACAACCCCCCATGTATTCCGTGGGACCTGTCAATGGCTACGAACCCACAAGGCTCAGTCAACGACTTTGTCAAAAACATCCACGAGAACTCCTAATTTGATATGGGCACAGACCTACACATAGACCTCAACAACTTGGTAATGTTGATATCCACGTTATGTGTAAGTAAGGCACGACCCTCTGCGCGATCTCAGGTGGGCTACGGAGAGATGGGGGTCGAGGGCTGGGGAGAGGGAGAAGAGAAGAAGAAGAGAAGAGGAAAGATGGGGGGAGGCCTTTTATATGCTCACATCCCACGTACCTTCCTCAAATGGACGGTCCTTTGCTCTTGCCTTTTTTAACTCGGGGTTACTGTGGCAGGTGACCATACGAACCCTACATAGTGTAT